CTGGCCAGTGTGTGTGTGTGTGTGTGTGTGTGTGTGTGTGTGTGTGTACCATATGTGTATTCTATTCAGTGATATTTTTATTCATTTTTTCCTTGGGTATTGAGTATGCTTCTGGTAATATTGAATGTATTACTTGGCTTTTTGGTCTTAGTTTTGAAAGATTTTCATCTTAAAAATTATGGTACTATAGTTTAAAAAGACATGTAAAATTTCACATCTTAGTCATTTCTAAGGGCACACAGTTTGATCATGTTAAGTATATTCTCACTGTGAGACCAGTCTCCAGGATGTTTTTATCTTGTAAAAATGACAGGCTACCTTCCTTAAACTTCCCCCACTCTCTGTCTCTCTTGGAATCTTTTCCATAGAGCCTAAGAAAACTCAGGCTTTTAGGAGTGGAAACAGATCATTAATTTTGTATCATTTTATTTTGTAATATTGGCTTGTAAAATGATAAATGGAACCCTAAGTATTGCGTGATCTATATTCCATAAATTGTGATATACCATTTTTCAGTTCAAAACATTTTATTTCCCTTATGATTTACTTATGATGCAAGAGAATTATATACTAACTATAAAATTTGGGGATGTACAGGAAAGAGTTCACCTAAAGGTCTGAGTCTGCTCTTCAAGAGACCTGCTTGCAAAGCTGGCCCATGGCTGTGCACTTGGAATTTGGGTCTTGAGAGGTTCCCACCATTCTGTATCAGACAAGAATGGTCCCCATCCTGAGGTGATGCAGGTACGCTTCCCTGGTACTTACCACTTGACTCACAATTCTTTATTTGAGTAATTGTTTCCTGTTGGACTGGGAGAGGACTCTTGGAATCTTTCAGGTCTTCTTCTCCAGACTTTGTTTCGTGATCCTTTTCCCTTTGCCTGTTTTGCTTTCTACACCTTCCTCTGCTATATTCAATGTTAGGATAACCCTTCAAATAAACTTTTCGTGTCCAACATCACATTTTTCTTTTTGACATAGCTGTTGTTCCTGTGCTAAATTTCCCACCACACATAATTTCCTGCTTTCTCACTGGTTCCTCTCCCATACTTTTCATATCTAATTTTAAAGCATTTATCTCTGAATCGTGACACCTGTCTGTAACCCCTTGTGTTGATGCTTCTTTTGTCCATATATCGCACATTCTTTTCCCCTTGTGCATGTTATAATTTTTGTTTTTGTATGCCACTCATATTGTGGACAGAACAGTCAAAACTGATGTTGAAAAATATCATCAGGAAAGGGCACACCTGTTCTCCTGATACGATTCTAGTGTGGGTGTCTGAGTCAATCAAATCTGCAGTTACCTACGTATAGATTTTTTTTTGGAAGCTTTAGCGTTTGCATAAAATTAACTTTAAGATTGGAAAGTAAGGAACAAGACTTTCTTCCGATCAGAACATGCTGCTGGAGCTGCAGAGAGCTTTGTGCCTCAGCTCAGCCACTGGCCAACTCAATCATGAGATGACTTTATCTGATTCTTAGTCTAGGTGCCAGTTTTGGGTAGCTAGTGAGTTCTCTTGTCATCCCTCTGAACCACTCTGACTTTCTCTCCATAGCTCCACCTTTTTCCTGCCGCTGTTCCTCATCCTTTAGAGGAAAGCTACAGAGTCCTCTGGGAAGGCGGGGCCTAGCCAGGGTTCTGTTACCCTTCCCTCATCTATCAGAAGTTCCCAGTCTTACACTTTGTGAATACAGACAATTATACATAGTCCTTTCAGTTTGGAGGTGCTTTATTTGCTTGATTTCTGAGAACAGGACTTTCAATATTGTGCTGAGTAAAATTGGTAATTGTGTTCATCTTGTTTCTTCCTGGTTGTGTGTAAAGAACTTCGTTGTTTTTGTTTTTCTGTATGATGGAATTAAGTATGATGTTAGCTGTGGGCTTGTCACATATGGCTGTTACTAAGTTGTGGTAATTTCCTTATTTACAATTCAATAAAAATACTGAGAATACAAATAGGGAAACAATAGTCTCTTCAACAAGTGGTATTGAAAACACTAGATAATCTATATGTAAAGAAAGGAAACTAGACACCCTGCTCTATACCTTACACAAATATCAATTCAGAATGGATTAAGTACTTAAGGCTTAAATCTACAAAATCTCTGGAAGAAAATATAAAAGGAAAGTTTCATGGCATAGATCTTGGCAATTATTTCTTGGAAGTGGCACAAAACACACAAGGAACAAAAACAAAAACAGAAATAGCACTGATCCAACTAAGAAGCTTTTGCATAATAAAGAAAAGAATCAGTTGAGTGGGAAAGTTAATCTATAAAACATGAGGAAATATTTCCAAGTTACAAATCTGATGAGGAAATATATGCAACATAACAGAAACTCCTGAAAGGACTGGTGAAGAGGTATGTGCTGGTGGAGATTTCACATAGGCAGGTGGGATCCATGAGTGGAGGTGGCAGTCGTGACCACGGGGATGAAGGTGAGCGTGACTGGTGTGCTCACAGGCTGAAGTTTTCAGTCCTTTCTTGAGGAATCTCTGTCTCTGTCTCTGTCTGTCTCTGTCTCTGTCTCTCTGTCTCTGTCTCTCTCTCTCTGTCTGTCTCTGTCTGTCTCTGACTCTGTCTCTGTCTCTGTCTCTGTCTCTGTCTCTGTCTCTCTCTCTCTCTGGGATGCCTGATCCAGTGTGTGCTGAGGATGAGCCCAGTCTCTGGATAATTTCAGTTGTCAACCCAGTCAGAAATCTGGACCCAGACTTGCATTCCCCTGATGGCTGTGGTTTTATAGACACTACATAACTGAGGGGAACAGATGATGGCCCTAGAAATATGGGGGAAGGAGCTGGTTAAAGGTAGCGTCTTAAACTAGACTGTCCGAAATCAACAAATGGAAGATGAATAGTACCCATACAATTTCAGAAAACTAATCTTTATTTAAAACCATGGCCCTGCAGTGTGAAATCATCCCACCGCATATACATGTCATCTGATGGCCCAGGCTTTCCCCACTCTCCTGCATTCTCTTGGCTCCTGGCTCATCCCTAAAACCTGAAGATATAAGAAAATGTCAAGTGAGTGGATTGTCAGTGCCAAGCCTTGGCAAACCAGTTAACTTACGTCTGTGGGGCCAGGAAACTGAAGAGAGGTTTTGTTTCTTCTAGCCCTGTTTACTGAGCATTCTGCCCAGCACTAAAAGACAGGAATGGGGAAGGGACGGGGAGACATCCTACTGCCAAGATGTAGGTGCCTTGCTGTTTTCCAAATCTGACATCACGGGCAAATATCTATAGCTCCCTCAGTGAGGAGAGAGAATGACATATGTCTGACCAAGTTTCCTTTAAGCTCCATCCAGATGCGAGAAAAGTATCAATGGCCCAAGGAGAAGGCTTCGAACTCCTGCCCTGGGCTCTGGTGTGTCTCTATCAGTAGCCCTCACTGGTGTGCTCTACACTCAGCTACTAGGGGCCTAACAAGGCACTACCATTCTTTCCTAATTATTTGGTTGAAGGTCTCTAATATCCAAGTCAGATTCCTAAAATGCTCTAGATTTCCACAACTGAAATTGTCTGGGTAGGGCCCAGGGGATTTGCACATCTAATGAGCTCACTCAGGGGACCAGGCAACGAAGTACAACACTCAGTGGAAACACCTGGCATTATACATAGGCAAGAAGAGGCTCCAGCTTAGCTCTGGGATAGTAGCACACCAAGAAAACTCCAGGCTCTTGGTCCATGCAAGACACTGCTGGAAGAAGTAGCACTTCTCTCCCTGTAACACCCACTCCAGCTTACTGCCATCAGAGAGACTAGCTCTATGCGTAACTCTGAGCCTAACAGGATTACAAATTCAGGCAAATATTTCACTTTTTGAGTTCATTTCTTGCTATGAAAATGGAGGGTACCATCCCAGAGTTTGCGAGAATTGAACATAATAAAGTATGTGGAGCAATTTGTAGTTTGAAGAAAACATCCAAATAATTTTGTTGATTTATCAACAAAACTATTATCAACAGACTATTCTTTGAAGGTCAGGAAACATGCTTTTGTTTTCTCCTGCTGCGTCAAGGCCACAAAGAGCACTTAATTAAGAGTTCAATTTGAAGAAAAACTGCCAATTATGCTGGTGCTACCTGAAGACTAGTTTCCACACATACAGAGTCCATAAATACAAGATCATTAGAACAGAACTGGGATGGAGCCGCCCTTCTCCCATCTCCCCACTCCTAGCTCTACTTCCTCCTACCCTTTCCTGTCTTCATACATGATTTAAATAAAATGCTTCTTCAGGAGCATCTTTTCATTTATTCAGCTAGAGAAACAAAAGCTTCCAAGTAGTGAGTGCTAGCCACGTGTCCAGCACCATCCCCTCACAGTCCAAAGAATCCCCAGAGGTAAACACTACCATGATTTTGATTTCATGTCGAGGAAATTGCAGGTCAAAAAAGGGTAGACGGCTTGTCCCACAAGTCAAGTCATGGAGCTGGAGCTGATGGAACCAGGAAAGAGGCAAGCTGACTTTGTGCTGATGATGCTGAGACAGAGGGAGAGGGAGAGAGAGAGAGCTGCGGTGTGGTACATGTGCTACACTGTGTGTGCAGTGTGTGTGTGTGTGTGTGTGTGTGTGCAAGCACATGCCCTCAGTGTAAGAATGTCCTCCTCTTCCAGCCTGCAGGCAGCTACCCACCTTCTAATACTGCACACCTTGCTCCTTCCTCCCAGCTAACAGGAAGAGGCACTCTTACTGGCCCTTGGGAGGAGAGGAAAGAGGTTCAGGAGGAATCGGAGTGCAGCCCTCAGAAGGCACTGAGCCATCTGGCCTCAGGCAAGCTCTCATTCTTTTCCTTCCCTGGCATTGTATGTGCCGTGTCTCCAGCACCTCTCAGTCGATGCTTCTTCCCAAAGCGTCTGCCAGGCCCAGTGCCAGATGGGACCCTTGTCCACAACACCAAGTTTCACAGGCTGTGGGCTGTGGATGTGGGCAGGATGAATGGCAAGCAGGCTGTCTAATCTCAGCCTTGTAGTAGAGTCACTCCTAACCATTCAGGGGAATTTTGGACAGCTACTGAGTGTGCTTCTGACCAGACTGGAGTCCCTCTGCCTGAACAGGGTGCAGGGCCCTACAGGTGGCGCTTGACTCTGCAGCCTCTCTGCGTGGCTGCCCTTGGAAACCTCCGCAAAGCATCTCTGTGGTGTCCAGAGGGAGGAGAGGATTCTCTTATACTCCCTGCGGAAGTTCTGGTTCAGGAGCCCATAGACAATAGCGTTAAGGCAACTGTTAAAATAAGCCAGGAAGTAGCTAGTGACGAAGAGTCCCTCCGGGATCTGGGGAGCCATTTGTTCTGGGTTTATGGCTACAACAAGGCCAATGCAGTTGAGGGGGGCCCAGCAGATGGCGAAGATCACAAACACCACAAACATGGTTAGGAAGCTCCGCAAGTCGCTGGGCCGGTCGCGCAGCTTGTTCTCAGACTTGGCCTTCCTGCGGGCTTGAAGCACCAGCACCCAGATTCGCAAGTAACAAAAGATCACTACGGTGATGGGGAGGAAGAAGTGGATGACCACCACGGCCCTCGTGTACTGCGCGCTGGCTGTCTGGATGAACGTGCAGGAGTAGATGCGCGGGTCGTATTCCAGAGATCCCACGAAGAAGTTGGGCACTAAGGCCACCAGGGTGAGGAGCCAGATGAGGCTGATGTAGACAGGGACGTGCCAGTGCCTACAGGCCCGGTGATAGGTCGCACTGTGGCAGATGTAGCAGTAGCGGTTAATGGCGATAGCAACGATATTGAAGACAGAGCCAATGACGCTCAAACCCATCACAAAGGCGCTGGCTTTGCAGTGTGATTCCCCCATGGCCCAGCCATCACAGAAGATTGCCAGGAGGATCAGTGGGTAGGGGTACAAGGCCACTGCCAGGTCAGCCAATGCCAGACTCACCAGGAACAGGTTGCCTGAAGCAGGAAAGAGAGCAAGAGTCAGTGGCGACCCTTCAATTCCGATTTGTTTTTGTTTTTTGTTTTTGTTTTTGTTTTTGTTTTTTTGAACCGGGGATTGAATTCAGGCCTTTGCGCTTGCCAGGGAAGCACTTATTCTACTGAGCCGTCTCTCCGGCCCCGCAATTCCAATTTTTGTAGAACATCCTGTCCGTCAGCTACTTTTAGCAATGGCAGTTAGAGTCAGAGCTGAGGACTCCAGCTGCATCTCTCATACTCACTATGACGTAAGCGTTTAGTCTGGTAGCCTTTGACTTAGGCTGTCAAACTCACCTTCGTCATTTGCCAGATGGGGGTGATATTTACCTGGCAGCAGAGCTGTGAGACTTAAATAATGCTCAGTGCTCAGGGACACAGAGGGTGCTCACAAGTGAAAACCATTCCGTGATGGGCACGGATGCACTGAGACTTTGCACTGTTCAATCTCCAGCAAGGACAGGAGGAAGAGAACCTGAGAGTCAGGAACGTGGACTCACCAGCAGCACTCCCATCTCTAAATCTGTACCTCCCTTCCCAGTATCCTCCTTCTGGATCTTCTTCCCATTGAATAACATGCTACTTCCCAAGGGTGTTTAAGGTCTATTTTTTGCATGTGCATGACATTTCTCAGCTGGTATAAAAGAAAGGACTTGAGAGTAAGAACCATGTGTTTGCAGCATTCCCTGTGGGCCCTGTCCAGAGCCAGCACTGTCAGCCATAGCCATGTTGACAGACACTTAGACTGGAGCATTCTCTGTCCTAGGAAGTGGGGAGGCATTGGGAGCTCCTGGTCTCAGCTTTTAGGGGCTCCCTGCTTTGCCTGCACACTCACAGGCTTCCTGAACCTCCTCTCTCCTCGGAGTAGTGATTTATTTAGCATCATCAAGCTCAGCCAGCCAGAGCCACAGAAAACCACACACAGGGTCTCAACGTCAAGTGTTATGGGTAAAGGAGGCCCAAAGCCAGCCAGCTGGGAGCTCACCCAGTATAAAACTTCAAGTGAAGCAACTCTGTGCAAAGCAACTCCAACTACCATGCAAAAGCAGGGAAAGAGGTGTCCCCAGTCTCCCCTTGGCCCAAGGTGCATTCTCACCCTACCACAGTGAAGCATCCATGAACTACACTAACCATAGGACTGAGAGGCTGCAAGACTCATAGGTAGTCTTTTATTATTATTATTAACTTTTTTTTTCCTTTTTTCAGAAATGGGGATTGAACTCAGGCCCTTGAGCTTTCCAGGGAAGTGCTTATTCTACGGAGCGATCTCCCCAGCCCCTATTATTAACTTTTAAAACATTGTATTTACTAAGATTCTGACAATAGATTTTTTTTAACAATTATTTTCTGTATTTTAAGGAAGGGTCTACAGGGTGTTTAGGGTCTCACTACTAGATCAGACTTGTAGTGATCCACCTGTTTACAGACTCCCAAGAGCTGGGGTGATAGGTGCACACTACCATGCCCTGTCTCAATCACCATCTCAGCACGCTCCAGGGGTGGGGCCAGCACAGCAGGCCCGGGGATCGAACCCCCTGCCACTGCGCCTGCTTGCTGACACTTTAATCCACTAAACTATTTGACCAGCCCTAAGCAATAGCTTCATGTAACAAGAGACAGCATACCAGGCCTGTCATTCAGCTTGATTATAAGTCTCAGCTTCAATATGAAGCTGTTTAAACAAAAAATCAAAACCTGCTTTTTACATGCTAAATATCTTGGCAAGGGTGCCATTAAACGTAGTAATGAACTTGAGACAGTACAAATAAGAGTTAATGAAAGCTAAAAATTGCAGCCTGAACTACATTCATACAGAAAAATGAAGTGACTATCATTGGTTACATAAAGTTTTCCTGGCTGGTTAAAACTTGACAGTACAAAACATGCATTTTAGAATCTTTAGCTATTAAGTTCAAAAAGTACCAGTGTCTACATAAAACAATTCCTCTCTAAAGCCAAAGTATAGTCAAACATTGATTCAAATGACAAACATATTCTAAAGCTAAAAACACTCATTATTGCTGTGGAGGTAAACTCAGAGCCTTGGGGCTTTGTGACACTTGCTGCAAAGGACCATTTCTCTGGTTCATTCAAAGCAGCAGATGACAAAGTCCACAGATGCCACTAAGCTCAATACAGGGCAAGAGGGCTCATACGCAGCTCTGCTCTCCCCAGCAAGTGTGGCTCCCGTGGCCACAAAAGTGGAAGCTGTAGGGACCAAAGGCACACTATTCTGCTAGCTACAGAGATAGCAAACCAGTCTTCTGAAGGCCATTTTTTGGTCTCAGTGGTCTGGGGCTTATGTTACTCAGCATGAATGGAAAAGAAGCCCACTAGCATCTTGAAGTTCTTAGCATACTAATTGCCCTGGCATCCAAAGCTAGAATATGGCCTGCGGAAGACAGGATGCAGCTGAACAGAGCGGGGTCATAAGGGCAGCATGGCACTTTAGAGAGAAATAGACTTCTCTGTTTCTGAAGACACTGTAGCGAGTGGCCTGACGTGGAGAATCCTACGAGGCCCAACCTCTGGATGCCTTCCCACTGGGCTATTCCAGGGGTCAGGTGGCTTCACAGATTCCTGCCTCCTTGCTTTCTTTCTGGTTGTTACCTGGTCCATCTGGGATGTGAGGGGCTTGGCGCCTTTCCATTTAATTCTCAGCTTCACTGACTGCCTTCTCTGCCAACAGCCAGGAGCCCAGATCTTATCTCAGAATTTTAAGTCACCTTTTAAGGATTTTTTTTTTTTTTTTTGGTTCCTCGAATGCCTTCAGGGCACTTTTGGCCAGCGGGAGAGGTGTGAGGTTTGAACTCCAGCAACCTGAGGCTGACAGCTTTGTGGAAGCAGCCACTTAAAGGCCTGAGCTAGGGCCAGGCCCCCTTAAGTCACCTTTTAAAATCTGGAGGTGGTGCTGAAAGTTAGAGCAACTTGTAGTGATCTCAGTCCTGCTGTTCTGGCTGGAGGACTTCGGGTGAGCTGCCCAGCTTCGTTCTCTGTCATCACTCTTCTACCTGTTCCAGTTCCCTCCGGCACACTCCACCTCTCAGTACTGTGACAGGCTGGCTGGCTCCAGGATGAGGCTCGCAGGCAAGCAGAAGGAAAGACAGCCAAGAGGGGCTGAGAGCTGGTGCCAGCGCACCCAGCTGTTTCCCCGGGAAAGCCGAGTTCAACTCTGTGGTGTTAATGCGCTTCAGCCCCTAATAACGCCCCAGAGGCTGGAAAACAGCTTGTAAATAGAGAGGAACACATTCAACTCCACGTGTAAAGTGATTCAATTACTCTCCCCTGCCACAGAGGCTGTTCCTAAAAGGCTAAAAGCAACCAGCTCCTTCTGGAAGTTCATCTGCCCAGTCACGCTACTATCTCCAGGCTGTCTTGGAAGGATTCCAAATGAGTTGAACAGAATCACGTATTGTCTCCCATCTGTAACCAGCCAGGTTCTGTCTGAGTGAGCATTAAGAGGAGATCCTATTCTTTATCCAGGTCTTCCCCAGACAGGTATGGACTCAATCAGCACATGTACCGCATTGTTCCTCATCCTATGCACAGGATTCTAATAAAGATTTAGACAGTAATTCACGGCATGACTCAATTCCACCTGCCTCTATCTGATAGGTTGTGTATTGGAAAGAGGCCTCCCCCCGGGATTTGGCTCTAATACAGAATCCTTCCCAGTATCTACATGCAAAGCACTTGCCTTCGGGAGCACCACCACCATGACCCCTTCCCTCTTCTCTCCTTGAGAATTCTGTTTTTTAACCAAGGACAGTACGAGTTAGCCGGCATCTATTCTTTATAAGATAGGAGAATTTTGAAGGGAAAGCTTCCTATATCCTATGCTCCTTTTCTCTGCGCTCAAAAGAGTTTGTTGGATTTAAATTGCCCTCGGTCACTGAGCTAACGGGCAGTGTACAGGCAGACACTGGTCAAGCTATTTACTCCGCAGATACTGCTGCACATCTACTAGGCAGTGTCCCTTTGTTTCTACAGAGGTACTTTCTCTTTGTACTATGTTCCAGGCTCTGGGAGCAGCAGTGGAATAAAAGCCTCTGATTTATATAGTCCAGTGGGGAGAAAGACAAAGAGCAACAGTACAGTTGGGTGCTGTCTTGGACATGGAAGCCGAAAGAGAGAGACAATCACTATGTCATACATAGTATACATAATTCTCCAGGGGCTCGGGGGAGGAGTTTGAGGAAAGAGAAGACTGAGACGAGACAGGAGAGTTTAGGGACCTTCTCGATTCATCAGAGAACGTGGAGTATGGGGGAAGTGGCAAAAGCCCCCTCTGGTAAAAGTGATGGAAAGGAGATGAGTTGGTTGTTGGGAGGTTACCAGAGGTGTGTCACAAGAGGACACTATTGTGAAGGTGGAGGAGGCAGGGAACCTAGCGATGGTGGCAGGCATCGGAGGAGGGAGCGCGGAAAGCCACAAAGACAGTACAGAGAGGGCGTGCTCCAGAGAGGACCAGAGTGGAAGGCAGAGCCACCAGGGAGCAATGTTATAAGTGAAGACGGTTCCCAGGGCTCGAGTATCCGGGAGCTGGAGAGCAAGCAGGTCCAGACGCGCGCATCAGGCAAGGCAAGGGGAGGAATGTCCCAGAGAAGGAGTGAAGGTCGAAGAGGGAAAGGAAGAGAGAAGGCTGAGATTCCAGTGACTGACCTCATTGACACGTCTTCCACAGGGCTTGGGGGGAGGTAGCAATGGAACGATGAGGTGATGGTAAAATTAATAAATGATGCTTGTTTAAGCAGTTTTCCTTTTACAATATGAGGCCCTGCACGGCCTCTGTTGGAGGCATATAAAGGGAAAGATGGATAATCCAGAAGCAAGAGAAGGAGCCTGGTGAAGGGATATTCCTGTGATGAGATCAAACACATGAGGCAGAGACCAAGGACTGCAGTAGCACCTCTAGGCATGAGAGAAAGTCCTTGTTGTGGTGTGTCTAGATGGCCCCTAAAGCCTCCTGCAGTCGCAGGTAGAACTTCTCAGAGATGGCTTGTTTTGTATGATACTGGGATTAGGTGTGTGGCACTGGGATGCAGGCTGTGTGGCTACTAAATTTGTCCACTGACTGGTTTGGTGCAGCTCTGGGTGTGGATAATGGGGAGGCCCCCCTGGGCCGTAGACTGGATGACTAGAAGGGACAGAAGAAGCACTGCTATGGCCACAGCTTTTCACTGTCGCTGCCTTCTGCTTGCCATGTCGTTTTCCCTCAGCGATGTCCCGTACCGTGCCATCCTGCTTTCAAGCCAGTTATGTACTAAAATCCCTACAACCTGTAAGCCAAAGTCAGTCTTTTCTCCTTTATCCGTAGGTGTCAGGTATTTTGTCTCAGCAAGGACAGAAGTAACTAATAGAGTCCCTAAACACCCTCAGGAAAGTCCCAAGTGTAGCAAGGACCCAAGAGCACACTGACAGCTGACAAGTGTGAGGTGCCACCCCAGGGCTAGGTGCCACTCATGGTGCTGGAGTACAGCAAGGAGGGGAGCACACCAGGCCTTGCCAGTGGAGGACAGTCAGTGGCATGTGCCCTCCACTGACTCCCATCAGCAGGAGTTCTATGGGAGCTGCCAACTGCACAGGTGAGGCTGGCCCTGGCGTAGCAGAGGCTGGGGTGCCCTTGCTCCATGGACAACAGGAGCTCCCACTCACCTGGCATTGCGTAGCCACTTTTCTCATGGCAGGAGACTGCCTGGTGAGCGTGAAGCCCCAGCTGGCCAGGCCTCTCCAGACATCAGCAAGGAGGAAAAGAAGGGGCCAGTGACAGAAGCCTGTAAGCTGGGAGCTGCTTTCTCCTGCCTCCCAGCATAGGGATGAACAATGCCTATGACTATGCCGGCTGGAAAGGGACAAAACGATCAAAAATGTCAAGCCCTGCTCTCTAGTCACAGCCTGCTGGTTTCCTAATGTGTAATTTTTCTTTAAATGTCATACTAACATCTTGAGATTGTTTCAGGTATTATTAGCCGTGGTGACTGAGATGCCTGAGTTAGAAAGCTTGTGTCTCCTTAATCATCCTAGGGTATCCTATGTGACTGCTTGCTTTGAGAATGAAATCATGAAGCTGCCAGAAAAAGTCACATATAATAATTTACTAAAAGCGGCTCTTCTGGGTGGTCTGGCACCTTAGAAGGGCATTTGCAAGCTTTAAATTGATTTTCTGCTGCTGTCTTTGCTTTCTAATTCACACTGGCCCAAGATAGGCAATTACAAAATTAACAAACAGGTCGTCGCCCAGCTCCTTCTCCAGGCTGGAAGCGTCAGGTTCTCCAGTGCTCCATGGGGGCTACTGCTCAGTGTCTCTCTCCTGGTTTTGTGTCCTCAGTTAAGGAGGGAGAAGCAAACAAAGTGGCTTGAAAGCAGAAAGTAGTTTCAGGCTTGCAACCTGATTAGATCAAATCATTGCCTTGGGTCTGCAGATGGCCCTGGGAGTGAATTTGCACCACAGAGCCTGTCATCCTATTTTCATTAATTGACTCATTCTCTCACCCAGGAATTTCCAATAGCTACTAGCAGAGGTCACAGTGCTTGGTAGAGGAGGAAGGGAGGCGTGAAAGACCATGAAATTTCTGTGCCCAAGGCACAAACGGGTAGCCACGGGGAGCGAAGGAGGTTTCCACCGCGACAGCGCAGGCGGCTGCCAAAAGAAAAAGTGCACAAGGAAACTTTTGCCCCATTTGCACGGGCACTCGCTTGCCCCCTGCGTCCTCGGGCGCCAGAAACACCGTGCGCACCGCGGAGAGTCGGGGCTCCCCAGCTTCTGTGTAGCACCAAAGTTAGGCACTAGGTTAGAGTGCAAAGAAACGCGCAGAGGAGACCGAGGAGAGAAAAGGCGGAGATCCCCGGTCAGGGCCCACACCCGGCTGCGGGGCTCAGCGGAGCAGCAGCGAGAACGGCGCTCACCTGCGTTGCGGAGCTTGCGGTTCGCGAGCACGGAGAGGATGATCAGGAGGTTGCCCACGACGTCCACGGCGGTGGTGACGATGAGCACGCCCGCCAGCGAGGGGGCCACCCAGGGGGGCCGGGGGCTCCCGGAGGGCAGCGTGCTGCTCAACCCCGAGGAGTCCGGGCGCGCGGCCAGGTCCCCGCCTTGGCAGCCGTTGAAGGAGCTGTTCCCCGGCATCGCCGCCCCGCGCCGAACTCCACGTCCCGCGAGGAACGAGCGCAGGGAGCAGGGAACACCAGGAGATAACTCAGCGTGGACAGAGGGCGGAGACAATGCGGGAGCAGGAGCAGGACTGGGGTGCAGACATCGCAGGAAGGACCGCGTCCTTCAGCAGCGCCCTCAGGGAACAACTGGCCCACGCATGGGTTAGCTCAGCTGCCCAGAACTCAGGGCGAACCTGTCGCGCCTCGCCTCGGGCTGCCTGCAGCGCCAGGCCTCTGGCCCTGAGCGGAAGGCCTTTCCGAGACCCCCACATTTCCTCTGTAGCTTCACAGGCAGGCACACGTAGCTTTTCCCCGCTGGAGGGTCTGGTGGTCCTGAACTACAGATCAAGTGTCACAAAGGCCAGCCTGAGACCCCCAGGACAATGGACTCCTGGGGTGTGTGAAGACAGATGCAAACTCTATTTAGTTGAAAGAAATAAATCTCCATGGTTTCTTGTGCGCTCGTGTATTCAGGAAGCCTAAGGTGACTGCACAAAGCCACTAGCTGAATAAATTAACGATGTATTTAAACACAATGCTCATAATACCTAAATAGACGTGGAGCTTGGGCGCCCCTCATTCAAAATGTGTGCGCTTGCTCTGGTAGTAGTAATAACTCAAAGCATGAAGGCACATGTTATGCCAAGCGCTGACCTAATCACCTGAAAAAAATTACTGAAATAAAAGTGATTGATAATCTTTAATTTGTCCAGGAGGTGAAACAAACAAAACTTATGAGAATGCAAAAAAATAAAATAACTCTGACAAGGATATCAAAATGGAATAAAAAATACGTTTCCGTGAGAATACTTGTACAAGAATGTCTACAGCAACCTTATAGTAGCACAAACTTGGAAATAACCAAAATCTCTAATAACAAAAATGTAGATAAACTTACAGTATAGCCATGCAGTGCAGTAAACTCAGCAGTAAAACTCAATATACACAACAGCATGGATTACTCTAAAAATTACTATATTTATCAAAAGAAGTCAGAGAGCAAAAGGTGCATATGAGATGATTCCATTTCTATGGAGTACAAGCTCATGAAAAGTTAACCTGTGAAGACAGAAATCAGAACGGTCATTTTCAATAAGGATGGAAATTGATTGGAAAAGAGAACAAAGTAAATCCTATCATGTTATATTTATAAATAATATTTTGTGTAATTTATATGCTCCCCCAAGGATAATGTTAAAAAGGATACAGTGGGGAAGGGGGATTGATAAGGCAGGGGAGAATAAAGAAAGGGACCAATGCCTGGAGCTGTGAGCCATCTGGAGCCCAAGGCGGGATGTTATCCTGGGTGCAGGGGAGCTTTCTCCCCCACAACAGAAAGAAAGCAAAGGTCCAAATCTAGAAGTGCTTCCAAACGGTGGAAGAAGATGAGCAAGTTCCTCTGGTTTTTGTGTTCTCCAGGAGTATAAAGACGCCTCATTTATTCCATGGGAAGAGAGCGTGGGAAGTTTGAAGACCAGAGAAGGTATAAAATGTCATTTCAGAAGGCAAGTGGATTCACTAGGAGTACGGAGCTGGTGTGTGGGGAGAGCAATCGTCTCTCTGCAGCATTTTAAACAAACCCAGTCGGCCTGGTGGGTGGTTGTGAATCAGCAACTTGGAGGTGTTCAGGACAGCAAGGAAAGACAGTGTGAACTTGTCAGGACTGGGGCTTGTGAGGCGGCGGGGAGACAGCAGAAAGTGCAAGGGTCTGATGGAAACACAGACTCTGTCGTTGAAGTGGGTGGTGCAGAAACAGAGGGGCTGGACGGATGTGTGAAGGAGGTAGAATTAAGGGGCTGGAGGTCCTGTAAATTCTCAGCCCTGAAGCAAGTCAGTTAGGAAACTAAGTTGTGGGCTTGTGAAATGAGCTGTTTGAAACTGAATATGTTTGTGTTTGTGGTGGTGCCGGGGTTTGAACTCAGAGCTTGTGCCTGCTAAGCAAGCCTGCACTGAGGTCCATAGCATGCTGAAGCCAAGGTCTCTGAGGGTGCAGACTCTGTCACTTGAAGGCTCCAACAGCGATGCTGGCGTGTGCTGCTGAACGAAGGTGGAGTGAACCCAGAAGTCAGGGGTGGGTATTATGGTAGGAGATAGGAAAAATAAAGTTAGGAGGTAAATCACCATCTGATGAGAGAGTGGAAGCAGCTAATCCATTGGAGAGCACCAGGGGAGTGGAGACAGACACGCGTGCACAGGGGAAGGCCCAGACTCTCACAGGAAGACAGACTCTGGCTTATATGTACACAAACATATCATGGGACTTCTTTCTCCACAGTCCTCACAGCATTAGTTGAGTTGAACCCAGTCTCAGTGGCCTCAGTCCAGGCACACATTTGTTCAGTTGACCATGTAGGAGAGGAGTCTCCCTGTGCTGCTCTGATATGTAACCATCCACATTGCCTATATTCACTAAGCTATGTCTCAAGGCCAGGGAGCACCAGGACTTAAGACGCTCTTCTGCCTGAGAAGTCACTGCTGGCCCCTGACACAGTTGGCTGGGCTGTGGCTTCAAAGGGCACAGCAGTGGTGGAGCCATGGTAAGAGATAGTCTGCCAGGTTCTTCCATACTTGGCATAGTCCTATCCCATAATTCAGTTACACTCCTTAGTCACCCAACTGAATCAAAAACTTGTATCTATACAAAAGCCTGCATGTAGGTGTTCAGCATAGACTTATTTGCAATTGGCAGATCTGGCAGCAATAAAGATGTCCCCGCAAAGGGGAATAGAGAAGTAAACTGTGACACATCCAGACAGTGGAAATGAGCTATCAAGCTAGGCAAAGCCATGGGGGAACATTAAATGCACATTACTAATGGCAGGAACGCAGAAAAGGCGCTATGGGATACATTGACAACTATAGGACATTGTGGAAGACGTGAAACTATAGAGACAGTAAAAAGAATCATGATTTCAGTAGCGTGGGAGGATGAGAGATGAACAGCCAGAGCATAGAAGATTCTTAAGATAGTGAAATTGTTCTCTACAACATCACAATAGTGGTTGGGTACATGAAGTTATGCCTTTGTGCAAGTCCTAGAGTGTATAACACCCCAAAGTAAACTATAAGATTTTGACTATGATGTGTCAATGTTGTCTCATAGATCAAATGTGCTATTTGTTTAGGAAGCTGACATCTGGGAAGCTGTGCAGGTGGGGACAAGGTGGACATGGGAATCATTATACTTCCTTTTAATTTTTCTGTGAATGTAAAACTGCCCTAATATAAAGACTATTCAAAAGGTGGTTTTGACCAAGAAGTGCGAATGTCTCCAAACTTGTACATTTTCACTCAAGGCAGAGCCCGTCCCACTATTAATAAGAGATACTAAAGACAGGCTGAGGAGAAAGTCCTGGTGGCGAGGTGCTTGGAACTACGGCGTGATGTAATGTGGGGCTGAGACTCATGGAATGGGCCATCATGTTGGCGAGCCTGAGGAGACCGAATCCTAGAAGGGGTGAGCTTAGGCGTGGGACTGGAGAGGTGGCTGGAATCTAGTGCAGGTGGTCCTCTGAAGGCAGGAGAGCCTCTGGACTTGATCTAAAGTACAGAGGGGTCTCTTCACATTCTTTGCCTGCTTTCTTTCCATTATGAAACATTCACATGAGATTTCAGTGTCCCCCCAAAATTTCTGGGTTGGCATTTTGTTTCCCAGAGTGGTGATGAGGAGGTGCTGGGCTTTTAAGAGGTGGAACCTCTCATTCTGGCTTCCTCTTTCATGCTGTGACTCTCCCCCGCCCCTGGGAGCACTCCTGCTTGCACACATGCGCATGTACGCACACACACGCACACACACACACACACACACACACACACACACACACACCCATGAAGCCTTCACCTGAGCTAAAGGGATGCTGATGCCATGCCCTTGAATGTCCAGGAGCTAAAAAAATTATCTCATTTTATGAGGCACCCAGCCTCAAGGATTTCATTATAGTAACAGAAAATGATGGCCCCCAAGGAGATAGCTCAGTAGAAAAAGCTCTCCCTGGCAAGTGCAGGGTCCAGAGTTCAACACCCGGTACCACACACACACACACACACACACACACACACACGAGAGAGAGAGAGAGAGAGAGAGAGAGAGAGAGAGAGAGAGAGAGAGAGAAAAGAAATGAACTATTATGCGTTGCAGTGGACAGAGCATGTGTGCTGCAGAAAGCAATTCCTCTGAAATCCAGGGACACAGAAGAGCGGCTGCTTCCAGTGTTCCAGGCTGGTGGCCTCTTAAGGAAAAGGGATTCTTCACACAATAGGCAAAACCGATCACTGCAGCCAACAGTGAGCCGAAATTGTAGGGGAGGAAAAATCCAACCCTAGAAAAAAGAAGGGAAAGGGATTCTGAGATTCCTAGCAGTTTTCTCATAAGATAACAAAATTCTGAGCACCTAGAATGTGCTTCAAGGACAGAAAAGAGTAGAGCTGGTTTTCCTTGTATCTCCCTCAGAAGCTCAAGACCCACACCCCCAAAAATAACACTGAAAGTAATACTTTAACTTGAGATGAGGGTGCTTGAAACCTTGTTTAAATCACTGACCTAGACCTTTTGCATCACCCCCTCAACAGTTCTGAGAAAGCTGAGAGCATGTCCAGCTAGAAAAAGAACGGACTCGCGAAGATAAGGAGTGCTCCAGATTGGGGGCGATGAGCATAGAGGCATCTGTCAGATTCCATTTCTCTTATTAAGTGTAGCTTTCCCTCCCTAAATATGAAATATGTCAAGTATAGGAGAATAGTTTCAACAATTTTTAAAATGTTCAGTTTGAAGCCTCTGCCTACCCTTTTAATAATACCATAAGCATGAACAATAGCCACCACAATTGATAGTGAGCTTACCTTGCATAGACGTGGGACAAGCGAATGCTTTGGTTTCAGCCTCACAGTTCCACAAGACGGGTGCTATTACTGTGCCATGCGAGGAAGCTGAGATGCAGGGAGGCTAAGAAACCCGCTCAGGAGTCCCTGGCAAGA